TTTCTTTTTTTTTTTTTTTAGTAATTGGCTGCGTAGATCTGTACCATGATGAAATATAGTTTAATAATTCTCATAGTCATCTGTCGATCGATACTATAAGAAGTTAGTATAAGGATATAGAGCTTAGTAACACATATGAAATAGATTATTGATCTAGGTAGACAGCGAATACTAATTGTCATGTTAGATGCTCAGCTTTCAGACCTAAGAAAGTAAAGTGCAATACGAGGATTTAATGCTTTCTCACATGTAATGCTTTTAATGTGCAGTCCAGTCATTAATTAACACGTTTTTAGTACATACCTGTCACTTGTGCTCAATACTTGCATTTTCTAAGTATATAGCAGTAATAAATGAGAAATCTGACTAAGCAGTCGTTATTTTGACTCACTGATGTTCATGCCTTTATGAGACAGATTTCTTAGCAGTGCATTTTCATAAAGTTTTATATATGTTGCTTTATAATAAAGACTATACAACCAAACAGTTTGCAATGTGCATTGTTTTCATCGTGTGGGCGCATTTAAATATGATTTACCTTATGTTTCTTAAATTGTAGATTTGGGTACATAGTGCACATAATGCCAGCGGGTACTTCACAATCTATGGAGACGAGTCCCTACAATCTGACCACTTCAGTTCTCGGCTCAGCTTTGGAGACACACAAACTGTATGGGCGCGGACGGGCTACCTGGGGTTCCTGAGAAGAACAGAGCTAACTGACGCAAATGGAGGTAAGATATAAAAGTATGCTTGCCATGTGAAAAATATGTGTGCTGGCATTCCTGGCCTGTCTCTGAAAAATCTGGTTGCCTGGCTGTGTCTGGCTTTAGAGTCAATGACCCAGAGCAAGCATTCAGCAAATTATAGTTATAGAACAGTCAGAATGATTATCTCCGTACTCTGGCCAGGACCCTGAAATCATTGAAGGACGTGGGGAGTAATGGCCCATCCCAACAGTTAATTGTAACTGAAGTTAAAATAAACCTGACAAATTCAACATATAGTATAAAGTATATACATTACAGAGTATATAATGAGAAATGCATGAGGAGAGGTCATTGAAAAAAGCATGTCAAATCAGCAGATCCAAAGATACAGGCAGCTAATACCTATATGCTTTCCTTGTAAACAATGAACCCACTTTTACCTCCTGAGTTTGTCTGTTGGTCATTACATGAAAAGAGCCAATTGAAAACCTGGAAGGAGGTGGCATTTTGCTCAACCATTGCAGAAGATTTGTCTATAACTTGAGTCGCCCATCTTGGGACCTATACATGGTTTTGACATGAGATTTTCACTGAAGGTAACCTCTGATTATATATTTTTGTAGCATGTACTCAGCTTGTATTTGCTATGCTTTTGACAGGTACTTATCCTCCCAAAAGGATGTCCGTATATTAGGCAAAAGGAAAGTGGGGAGGGGGAGTTCTGTATGCCATTTATTTTACTTTTATAGTAATAAGTAGCATGTTGTATCAGTTATGTCTAATAAATGAGGCTATAAGCAGATATAAGGTTACAAGTGTTGCAGCTAGTTATTTTGCAGCCTCAAAACTTATTTCCGGCTGTGTCCCTGTTATAGCCCATGTTCAGTCTAGCAGTATAGAACATCTAGCTAGAGTCATGGTTAGAACTTGATTATTGAGAGGCGACATCAAAACAGGTGTTTCCACTACCTTCAATACATCTCTCTCTCTCTCTCTCTCTCTCTCTCTCCCCCCCTCTCTCTCTCCCCCTCTCTCTCTCTCTGCCCCTCTCTCCCTCTCTCTCTCTCTGCCCCTCTCTCCCTCTCTCTCTCTCTCTGCCCCTCTCTTCCTCTCTCTCTCTCTCTGCCCCTCTCTCCCTCTCTCCTCTCTCACCACCATTTGAGTTATAGCAAAGGTGTTTGCCTGAAGGTCCAATTTAAGAATTTACTGATACAGTTATTATGTAGAATTTTTAGCTGGTACTGTTTTATTATTTGCTTTAACATGTTTATAATACATACACTAAAATATTGTTCCCAACCCCCTTTTTTTAAAAATACCATTTGCACCTTAATTTCACCCTTTTCTGTATCTTCGTATTGCTGATCTTTCAGTCACTTTCTGCATACATGGACCTGCTCCAATGTTGGCTACACATCATTGGCCTGACATTGACCATGCCTGTGCAATGTGTGTCAGCACAGGCCACTTGCAGTTTCCACCAGGGGACCATGTGACAGGTTGACAACAGTTGGGAGTCAGTTGTCAACCCATAACATAAGTTACTGAACAACAAGCCTTAAGGCAGGATTACCAGGTTTTATTTTGTAGAGAGGTGCAGATGTAAAAAAAAAAAAAGTTTGAAAACGACCTACAAATTACAAAATACATTAAAGAATATTTATAGGCCAAACTTTTTTTTTTAATATATATACTTTTGGATGGAGTGCGGGAGGATTGGGGCCATGTCAGGTTTTTTGCTGTGTTTATCACACTGGAGATATTTACCCTCTGTTTGTACTGGTGACCATTGTCTTTGTGACAGGAGTGGGAGGTGAGAGGGAAATCTTGCAATATGGATAACTGTTCCAGTAACAATTGTCTAAGAGGGAATTCCCCTCAATTTGCAGGAGTTCCTTTGATTTCTGTTGCGACTCCAAAACAGGAAGTGAATGAAAACCTTCCAAACTGGGCGCAGACCTCAAAAACTTTTTAAAAGTTTTGGCTATACATACACTTAACGTTTTATGACTTTTTAGTGAAAGGGTTTAGATCTGCCTTATAGAAAAACTCCACTTTCCTTAAAAAAAATATATAGCATATAACATTTCTACATAAACCATTTTGTAATTTCATGTTTTTAAAAATTAATCAATCTGAAGCCTCTGTAATTTTCTAAAACTATTCAAAAAACGTAATGCAGTATGGCAACCTGTAGGCGTTCTGTACACCTTTGATGCTAGCAATGCCCCCAGAAATGTAATTTCCTGCTTGTGTAATTGGCTTTCAGATTTACCAGTTGTCTGCACTAAGATACAATATTTTAGGTATCCCTTGCAAATGAAATTTGATTTTTGGTAAGATGCTACCTAAGGGTTAGCTTCTTCTAAATGGATGCTGGCACTGCACATTTCCTTGTTGGAACACTGAAAGGGCATCAGGTGGTTAAAAGGAACTTGAGCTTTCCCATTCAGGAATCAGTCCAGAAAGGACACTGCAGAACAAAAAACAAGGTCAGAATCTGCAACAAAGTTTGTGAAAATCACTGCAATGTACATTGATCAGCCAGAGTGGACTGGAGTTACTAATTTTCTTACTGTACGTTCTAATAGAGGTTTTCTTTTTTTCTCTTTATATAGAACGCCATGATGCCCTGTATGTTGTGGGGGCTCTAGATGAAGCAATGGAATTGCGAGGGATGAGGTATCACCCAATTGATATAGAGACTTCTGTGATCAGAGCCCACAAGAGTGTAACAGAATGGTAAATATCTTTGGAAGTTTAAATTTTTTGTTCTTCTTAAACTATAGAACATTACACTACAGGTGTGACAGTACTACTGCAAAAGTATATATAGAGGTAACAATAGTGTTCAGGTTTCTGAAGTGTCTGTACCTCCCTATTAAGTCACAACAGTGATCTGGTGGCTGATTCTGTCCACTGGTGCTTAGCCAAAACATTACATTTAATTATAAGAGTAGGAAGAACAATAATTGTTGTGGATACAACAGATTAGCATTACTGAACTACAAAGAAAACCACAGTAGCTTCTATGTTGCTGGAAATATGGTTCAGTAGGTGTAGTTATTATATACAGTAGGTATTTCTGTTGTTTCTACGTAAATAATATAGCGATGCTTGAACAATACAATTACGTATTTACTAGTAATGTATACATTTGATAGGTCACAAGCTTTTGGAACATATTATAGGTATGTTTTCATAAATACATTGGTTCTGAATTTGACTTTCATTCTCTAGTGCCGTCTTTACTTGGACGAACTTGTTAGTGGTCGTTGTGGAGCTTGATGGCTCAGAACAGGAAGCCCTGGATCTTGTACCACTGGTCACCAATGTGATCTTGGAAGAACATTATCTTATCGTAGGCGTGGTTGTAGTGGTGGACATTGGTGTCATTCCTATCAACTCCCGTGGAGAGAAACAACGTATGCACCTACGAGATGGGTTTTTGGCAGATCAGCTGGATCCCATATATGTGGCCTACAACATGTAGTCTTGTAAATTTTAAGGCTTCCATGGACTTCACAATAGATGTAAAAAAAAATTTTTGTGTCCACTAAAAAGAAAATCAAACGTGCAAATAAGGGGATAACCTTTGTTCAGAATGGAGCAGTTTTTGTCATTTTAACGTACCAATTCCTCAAAAAATTGGGCAGACAGAATGTGAAATGTGCTTTTGTTTTTACCACTACACTTTAGCACCAAAAGACTTTTTTAGGGTACTGTGTTGCCTCAATTGAATGAGTTGAGAACTCTACAGGTCTCTGAAATTTAAAGACCTGTGTGACCTCATCATATTTTTTTTCATTTTAAATGCCAATTTTTAAAAGAAGTTATTTGTTTTTATGTTGCTAGACTGACCCCATTGTTTTCATTATGTAGCTGTGGATTTTATGAAGGATTTTGTTTTTCAATATAATGGAAATAGGTTGACTTATAAAAACTTTGACGATGGGATTGCATCAACTCGTTGACACAACCTAATCTGAAAATATAATGTGTGGGGGACGAAAAGGTACGGTTAAGAAAATGTTCCAAATCCATAATAATGTAACTTACAGAAAAGGCATAGTTCGATGTATGTTCTTGGGTACTGGATTGAGGCCAAAGTGTGTCAGCTGCTAATCTTTCCAGTGTTTAACCCACTGATATATTAGAAGGGACTTTTTATTTTATTTTATTTTTTACTTTATTTTATAAGCTTTGCTTTTCCTTCTGATAGAGAACCTATTAGTTCTTGGCTGCAAACCAACATGAACATGCATTGGGTTATCATGTGCCATTTTGCAACCAAAACAGACTACTGTAATCTTTAAATGGAAAAATAAAGTTTTATTTAAATTTTATGCCTCCCAGGGGCTAAAACTGGCTGGTACTTAATATAGCCCAGCCATCTCAAAGCCTCAGTTTGCAGCCTCAAGAGAATTTGCGTAGCTATTCATAAGTAAGCACACTAATTAAAAATTGCTGTTCATCTCAGATTGAGAGTAATAAAGCTAGTGATTGTTGAATCAGTTGAAAGAAAAAAATAATATAAATAATATTCATAAGGTGGACTTTGGCAATTATCTTTGTACTGAGCTAAAAAGATAAAATAAGTTAACTCTCCATATGTAATTATGTATAAAATGTTTAATTTATTTTGATCTCTTTAGAAGTATAAAACAAAACGGCATTCAAGAAAGTTAAAACTCTTGTAATGTTTGCTAATATAAAAAAATGCGTTGTATTATCTTGAGTGGATAGTATCACATCAAATATATATATGAAATTATAAATTCACTAATGGGTTATGCGGGAAGGGATATATTTTAATGTTTACGATGCAGTACATGTCACTTGCATGGTGTCTCCCACTGTATATAATTGGGTGTTATTCACAATCTTCGTTTAAAAACTGCAATCGTGGATTGCCTGTGTTCCCGTATAAAAAGTTATTCTAGATACCAGCAAGTGGATTTAAAATACCATCCTTTAGATGGTGTACAAAACGTATGGCTGAAATGCACTATCATTTTTTTTTCTTTTTTCTTTCTCTTAGAGAAGCAACAGTAGATACAATTGTATAACGTGTGTGCTGATCAGAGGATACATTTAATATATGAAGAAAGTCAAAGTAAATAAGAATGTTGGGGAATGAGACGGTTACATGAAATTCATAGGCCGATCCAAATCCTTGTTAGTTTGCTGCCTCACTCGTTCCATCTACATTGTTTCAGATGCAAAGATATTTGAGTATTTCAAAAAAAGTATTCATAGAGGTTTTTAAAGTTGATTTGCACTCCCTCTGAATTTTTACTTAAAGCTCATAAAAAAGAGAAATTTAAAAATGATAAGGCATATGAGTTTTTTTTACTTCCAATGTATTTAATATTGTGAATAGATTCCGTTCCAAGATTTCTTTAATCCAGTAACTTATCCATTATATCCTTTGAAGAGACCCCATAACTTTGCCCATTCTGGACAAAGAGACATTGTCTGCACATACCCTACCATACCTGGCATGTATAGTTACTTCCTCATCGCCTCCCCACAGTGCCCTTGTTATTTGACCAGGGCTTCCTGCTAGGGGGAGGGGGAAACAGGTGACCTCACCTGTATGAGTGGACTAACAACCAATCACTGTCAGGGGGGGGAGTAATGCCATCTCCCTCGAGCTAAGCTCCAACATTTGAGCTTAGGCAGGATAGCAGTAAAGAGATAATGGCTGAATAAGTATACATGTCTGGTGTGAGCTAGGTGTAGACAATCCCACTTTGCTCTAATATGGACAAAGTGACTGTTTCTCTTTAGAGCAGACCTATTTTAAAATATTACATTATGAAACAGATAAATAGTAATAGAAGGGCCATAATATATGCCCTGTAGGAAATAGGAAAACAAAATGCTGCTCCAGGCTGTGTGTCATGTGATTGAGACTCAAAACTAAACTCTGAGCCCTCCCTTTCAACACTGTTCACATTACCAAATTCTTAGGTTCTCATCACAGAAACATCATTGTTAAGTATTGCAATCCTCCTATTGCCCCTTATACTCCCCAGCAAGACTTTGAGTAACCTTTTGAGCAACATTTTGAGTACATATTCACTTGAAATTTTCTAGTATGTGTTTTTTTATTTTATTGTTGCCGCTAGATATGATAAAGCAGATCTCTTACACATGACTGTAGAACTAAGCCTGTCTTCAGAATTTACTGCTATGATAATGTCATTTTTTAAGCACATTTAATGTAAACCCTTACTGACCTTAACAGTAACTAATAATTCCAGAAAGCTCAGCTGCAGATCTGTTTCATTGCCTAGTTTTTGGTTACATATACTCTAATTTTGCACATTTTTATGCCGTTACATATCCTATTGAAATAGATGTCATGATTACATGTTTGTTACAATTTCTGTGTGAATAATAATAATTTAACTCTTAATTCAAAGGACAAATCATGCCAAGCGATACAGACAAAACCCATACAGTTCTAAATAATACAATAATCATTCTCACTATAGTGCAGTAACTAGCATCTCCTTTTTAGTGTTTTGCAATAGACTTTCTCAGGTGGAACCAAATAAACCCACTAACACAGCCAATCATAATACTGAAAGGATTAAAGGAACATAAAGGCTGCAATTACTCAATAAAAAACTGTTGGGGGATTACCTTAAGCTTGACAAATCTGCAGTCAACTAGATATATATATTTTAGATTTCCTGATGTAGAAAAACTCAAAGCTGGTAAGTCCAGGAGTCAGTTTGAGTTGGTTGGTCCATTGTCCTGTAACCTCTATCTGCAATGATAGGGTGTTATGGTAATGAACGTGAGGTTATGGTGCTGGCAGATCCCTCAATTTACTCACTTTTAGGGCATTGTTCTATCCTTTTGGGCACAGATGAAAATTGTAGACAACTTTTAATTCTCGTGCACACAGATGTCATCTCATGGGTCAAGATTCCTGCATACAGTAACTTTCTGGAGAAAAAAAAATATTTTAAGTTCCTGAAATTGTCTTCACTTCGAGTGGGCTGAAACTAAAAATATGAATCTCTCATAGAAGCTGATTGGGATTTAAGTGTTTTAACACTAATGTGACTTTGAGCTAAGGATCTTCCCTTAATGGATAAATATATTCTAACTGAATACTAGTTGCTGAAGAAAAGAGAAATATAATCATATTGTGCATACTGGTACTTGAAAACATCTCCATATGTAGTTGTATGTGAGGCATGGCATCCCAGAAAAACTAGTAATTGGTTTTATTTTTGTCGACGTTTAGATGTTCTAGCTACAGGCTGCACGAAGGTCAAGTGTCATTCACTTTGGGGAAGACCCCTCTAATGAACCTGCACCATAAAATAATGCTATGCCATCACGTGTTCACAGAAATTGTGATCTATCTATGCTGAGTAAAGTTCACTGGTTAATGCTTAGTAATAAATGCATCAGTTACCTCCTTAAATAAAACAGTAGGAGAAACCCCTAACTTTTAAGAAAGAAAAAAAAATGCTTACATTAGAGACCATACTAAAAGTTATAAGTGAGAGTAAAATTAATCAGCCTGATTTAAACAGGAGTGAGATGTAAAAGTCAGTGAAAATTAATATTGCCGACTTGGACAAGAATCAGATGTATATGTTAGAATAAAGAATCTTCCTAACTCAAATATTAAAGTAGGTATTGCATGTCTCGAAGGGCTAAACATCCCAGCTTAAGATTTTGAACATCCAACAAAACTGGATATTACAACAACCTCGGATGTACGTTTAAGATCTGTTCCTGTAAAAGTATTTAGAATTCCTCTCATTAAAAACATTTAGTGATCTGCCATGTGTGCTTGTCAGCAAGGAAGTATAAACAAAACAGGAAGAGAGGGGCTTCTGTTGATGATGTCGTGGTCAGAGGAGGGTTAACGCCTGTTTTAAGAGACAGCAATGTTGAAATAAAAAGAATTGTTCAAAAAAAAACCCACACATGCCTCACCCATAAATCTATACAGTATTGGCTACATAAACACACAACTCCTGGTTTGTCGTTTAATTAATTCTTAATTTCACTGCTTAAAGAGTAACGCCACTTTTTTAACACTTTATTTTATAAGATCATGCAAAAGTACAACATGAGAACAGTAATATGAAATAATAACAATAATATGAAATAATAACAATGGGTAGGAGACATTTGAATGCAAGCAAATCTAGACATTTAACATCCTGTATTGTACAACTTGTATGGTCCACCTTCTGTGGAATCCAGCAAATGTCCCATAGGCCTACAACTGGACCCGAAAAGTGTAAAGGATGTGGTCTCTTTTATTATTTTCATAGCAGCCAGAGTTTTTTTTTTCTGTTCATCCCTAATGATTCATATCTTACTAACATCTAGAGCAACACCACTTCTATTAAAATATTGATATGGAATATAAAGTTCTCTACAAAGCCTTTTTGATATTACCGCTAATACAAATTACCTTTTTAGTTCAATCTGCAGCTAGTAAATCAATGGCAAGTAAAATCAATCGGCTTTCTTGTATGAAGGCATTCCGTTACCGTTGGAGTACAAAGCTCCCCGTTAAAAAAGAGAAAAAAATCCTACTCATGTGATTGGCTCACTGCAGTCTTTACAACACTATGATCATGTGACTCTATAAGGAACACCCTCTCATTTATGAATTAGGAAAGGACTGCAGCAAGTAAGAAATGAGTAGAATGTGTGAGTTTTAGTATAAATATTATCAGGTAGGGCTTTGCAGTGAAAATTACTAAAATCCTTACACTGTAACCAACCAGGGGGATTGTTTTTTGCTCATCAAACAAGTTACGCTTTTAAATTTTTGGCCGCCATTTTATCTTCTTGCTTCCATCACAGACTTGCTGATAGTTGTAACATCTCCAGCCTACATGCCCATTTGCCTCTGCACCACATCTTTACCGAATGAAGTTTCACAACACCTTTTATTTTTTTTGTGTTTTGTTTCTAAAAAGCAAATGCTTTCAAATATTATTGGTGCAAAGGGGTTTTACCTGTGTTGTAGACTTTGAGAATATGCGAGTAATGCAATTGGGCCAGCAACACTGGCTATTTCAGCTCTTTATACGACGACAGTGTGGACTCTAAATGCCAGCATATGACCTCAGGTATTAGCTGGATGTCAAGGCACAGTCATTGTTCATTGAGGAGATGGAGAAGCAGCCAAATGCCGAGTAGTGAAGATGGAATCATGTAGCACTCTCTGCCTGCAAATAGAACATGTATCTTGCTAGTTTTCTGGATTTCTATGTGTTGTGACCATTTGTACATGGCACGTGAGTTCCCTCTCTGGTGCTTGCAAGGTGAAGAAACAGCAATAAAGGAAGATTGTTCTGTATTAGAAAACGTACTGTAGATAAACCATTCATTGGATCTTGTAACTTCTGTCTTGTGAGATTTGTGCATTTTTAAAAAAAAAATTCTTTTTTAATTCTTTAAAGTCAGATGTGGTTAGACCGAGAGGAGGGTACAGCTAAACCCATACACACAATACACACACACGATCCAACAGATTCCTCATGGTGCTTGTTTTATTATATATTTAATTCTGCTTGACCCTTTACCCTAGGGAAAGACTTGTCCCTGTTTATTAGTTGAATGTTAGCAGAAGCGTTACTTCATGGAGTGTTGACTGGTTCGAGAAATGTCATATACTCAGCCAATCACAGCTGAAACCTAGAAAAAAAAAAAGTAAAATAAAATTTTTATGTGCAAAAGACAGCAACCTTCTTGTATGTTAAACCACCAGTACGCTTTGTACATCTGTGATAACGCCTGTTTTATATTCAAATGAACAAATAAAAGCTTTTATTTTTGTTGCTCTGAAAATCTTGTTCCTGGCCATTTATTTTATTCAGCCTGCAAATATGTAAAGACTGTTGGAACTCTTTGTAACTAGAGTGGTCAAAAAATATATTTCCTTTATACTTGTTACAAATTCTATATTCCTGTAAAAGTTTCCTTACTCTGCAGCTTATCTATAAGGATAGACTTGTTTTTACTATGCCTATTCAGGACAAAGTGACTCCTGATAGTCCATCTACCAGCAACATATGGTAGAGCTCCTCTGTGCTGCCATGACACCACCCTGCCCTGTTGGAGCCCTGGCTCCATTACTCTGATACAGTCTTTCTAAACCAGGGTGCCTTCCGGCTTCCTCAGTGGTGCCTCAGAGTGTATCATGTCTTTCCATGGTGCAGGCAGACTGCCAAGCACTATGGAGACAAATGGCCATAATCCATGGAGAGTGGCATACATTTGGAAATGAACAGAGGTTTGCCTTCTGACTAGTCCTGCTTCACCTCCTTCTCTCT